CATCACATGAAATATTAGATGGTTTCTATGATAGTGGTAATGACAGGTGTCTACATGTTACAGAATACAAGGTGTCCAATTGAATAATTCGTATCTTATTCATATGAAAGACTATAATTCATTAATATAAATGACTACTGTCTGGTGTTTAAGGAAAAGACAATGTTGCAATTAAATTGCTGGTGTATTTTAAAGGAACAATTACCCCGTGAACCAGTTCACACACTATAGCATTGTGGAATCTCAGAATTATGTGAAAGTCAAATTTCATTTTCCATAGAATGTGAAAAACCTCAAGAGTAAACTGCCACAGGCATCTACACAATCATTTTACTTTGAATAATGATGAGATACTACTAAAATGAAAACTTCTGTTGTGCCCAGCTGTATTTCTAACAATGTTAGTTTGCCTTGAGATCTATTGTTCTACGAATGTGATGTTTGCAAACAGCTTATCATTTTACACTTAATTGTTTTTGTGATTCCCCACCAAGAATTACAATATCTGAACAAAAGCAGATGACACTGGCAAAATATTGTAATTCTTTACGAACCGAATTGGAGCCAATTTACACATCATCACATAGAAACTCTCTATTGATATGGCTCCAAAAATTCTGTTGTATTTGTTTGACCCTTGTGGCCTGTACTTCTTCACTCCCAGTTTAGTATTTTCTGCTAAATTGTAGACTTTTTCTTTTACATTCTCTCACCATAATCTGACCATCAAGATTAAATTACTCCTCTCACTTCAAGCTTTCCCTTGGCTGTTTAACCCTTTGTTGACCTGACAAGCCTTTGTTCTTGTCTGAGTACTCTTTGTACATGAATTTCACTCTCTGGTTTGCCACATCAGAATACAAAACGGCCCTTCCTAAAAGTAGAAGGAAAGCTCCCTCTTTTATGATCATTGGGAAAGCATTATTTCTGTAACCTGCACGCCCACCTTGCACTTATATTTCCTCATTTGTGTACCAATCCCTGGGCTGTCATATTATCAGATACCCATCTACTACTAGCTGGTATACACTTTGACTTTATGGATCAACCATCTCCTCTTTGTTTCATCCAGGAAACCCTGGGTCAGATTTTCAGATTTCCATTTCATTTTTTCATGATCTCCATAGCTGTGACATACAAGCATTAGAAAGAAATGTAATATTGGATGGTGAGGGGAAAACACCCTTGTATTTCACTTACTTCTTACCAGGAGAATATGACTCCAAGTTCAAAACCAGATGAGAAACCCCTTTATATTCAGATAGTGAACACATTTGTAAGAAGCCTACATAATTCTACTTTAGTTGCACTAGTCAATTCATTATTACTGAATGCTTGGAATGTCTTTGTTTTGCTTGTTTTTCATTATTAAATAATA